CCAGGCGGAGCAGCAGTTGCAGCCCTGGCTGTCCCTGGAGCAGTGGGAGCTGCCGCTGGCCCCAGGCACTGTCCTGTGAGGAGCTGCTGAAGGACGCTGAGACTGAGGGGGCTGAGGAGGCGCTGATGCTGAAGGGACCTTGCAAACCTTGAGGTGTGAGGGGCACTGAGGGCTGTGGGGGAGCAGAGGGCCATGGTGGCACGGAGGTGACAGAGGCACGGGCTGAGGGCTGTGCCGGCTCTGAGGGGACACAACGGCTCAGAAGGGACTGAGCGGGGGGAGAGGCCTGGGAGAGGCCCAAGAAACTGAAGAGGGGGCTGGGGCTTTGCCGAGAGGACGGCGGGGCTGAGGGGATGGAGGGGGCCAGGAGGGAGCACACAGAGCTCAGGGACTGCAGCTCTGCCAGGCCTTGCAACCAATTGCAGAGCCTCCACTTTTGCCACCACAGCTGTGCTGAAGAGCGTGAGGAGAGCCAGACACTGAGAGGAGCCAGCAGGGAGAAGCTGAAGGCCTGGAGCAAGAGCAGTGAGCAGGGATGTGCTGGGGCCACGCGAGAGCCTGGGTGAGGCCCCAGGGCTGGTGAGGCCGGGCAGGGCTGAGGGTGGCGTGGGCTTTGGCCGTGGGCGCTGCCCGGCCGGGCAGGAGCGGCCCCTGCCCGTGCTGGGGCTGCTCAGCGCTGCTGCCCCGGCCGGCACAGGGGCTGTCCTTGGGCAAGGCAGCTGTGCCGGCAGGGCCCGGGAGCTGTGCCGGGCTGCCGGGGGCTGCGGGACAGTCCCGCCGCGCCTGCGCTCGCCACACGCTGGCCCGCTCGGCCTGCTTGTTCTTGCCAACCCTCCTGGGGAGGCTCGGAGATTTTCGCTTCCCTGCTGGAAGTGCAGCTGCTGCCAAGGGAAAGGTCCCAGCACTGACTCGCTGTTCCCTTTGCCTCCCAGATGTCCCATCTGCTGTCCCTGTCCAGGAGAGCTGCTCTGCATGGGAGGGAAAGACCGAGGGAGAAGCTTTGAAGATGGGGCGGCTGGGATCCCTCTGATTCTATATCTCTATGTATATATATTGTATGAAATATGTCATATTTAATCTGTATTTCCATCTGTAGATTGTTCTAGATGTATATATAGAGGTATTTACTTCTATTTAAACATGTATGACGAGGTATAGTTGTATAATTGTATCGATCGAATTCTTAGTACAGGGTTATTTAGAGGGAGACACTGATATTTTTGTATTTCTATATGGGCTGTAAGCTTGTAGTATCCTGTAATAAATTAAATTGTTAAACACCTCATTGATTTTTGTCTATAGTGACTTGTAGAGGTTAGCAATAAGTGAAGTTTTTGCTAACTGAAGTTGGTATTTGTATATTTTTACATGGCATTGTTGTGCTAATATAATAAATTACTTTTTTTAAACTTAATGGAGATTTTTATAGTTGTGTATTGTCAGCGCAGGTGTAGCAATTTGTAATAAATGACATTTTTCAACTGAAATGGATTCATGTGTATTTGTAGCTCAGCTGTGCGGCTGCAGCAGTCTGCAAGCAATGACATTTATCAGCTGAGATGGGTGGTTTGTGATTTGTGCTCTCCAAAGCAATGGGCAGATGGAAATGCCCTGACGCTGGAGGATTTTGGTGATGAAAATCTCCAGCCACGCCCAGCACATGCCCCACTTGCGCTCAGGCTGGGCAAGGAAAGCGCAGATTTGGGCTGGCAGCAGAGCCACACGTTGGTTCAAAACTCGCTGCACAGGCCTGCTGAGAAAACTCTGGGACTCTGCTGCGTGTACAACTCCAAGCAGGAGGCAGCGGGGCAGGAGAAAGCATTCACCATGAAAAAACAAAGAGAAATTGTGTCCAAACAGATGTGAGGGTACTCTGGGAGTTTGATCAAATGCTCTAACTCACCACTGCCTGGGCTCATCTTCAGCAAAACTAGTTTGTTAAAAGCTGAACACCTTCCAGGAAAGAGAGATTGCACTTTCCCCTTCACTTGCCTTGCTGTGTGAGTGGAAGATGTCCTTCCCACAGGGAATTTTTGCCCTTCAGCACCTCCCTCACTCCCATGAAATCAAAGATGATTGCTACCGTGTGGCACCATAAAGGAAAAGAGCCCTGCCCTGGTGACAGTGTGTGCAAAGTCTTCCCTCCTGCTGTCCCCACATGGCACAAACTGAACCATCCCCTTGCTGTCCAAACTGCGCCTGAGGTGAGTGAGGGCTCCAGGAGCTCAGGAGGGTGCAACACCAGCACAGGTGGGAAGGTTTTGCAAAGCTTCCCAAGCATCAGTGAACTTTGGCTTTGCCGCTCTTCCCCTGCAATATTGTCCTACTCATGAACGGGCTTGGAGGACACCGTGCCGCCAGCTCCCGCAAGTGAAGTTTGTTTTCTTCACGGCTGGAATGGAGGAAAATGCAAATGGTTCTTTTTGGAGTGAAATTTGGGGTTTGGTGCAGCTGGGTGAGGTCCCTTATTTGCTGTGGAAAGTAGAGGAAAAGCTTTAAATTCCCAACAGAAGCTGCCTGCCAGCCCACACAGAGAGCTGAATGAGGCCCAGGTGTGCTTGCTGCACGCTGCTCCAAGGGAAAAGCTGGAACAAAGTCCCCTTTGATTGGAGATTGAGCCTCTGTCCCGATGGGACACTTGTGCTTGGCTTCTTTTTCCCCCTTGGACTGAGATTGATGAGAGAGAGGCAGTTTGCTCTTGTTTGGACTCGGTTGTTTATTCTTCTTTTATCTGCATTACATGCATACAAGGTACAAGGAGCTACGTGCACTAAGATACAGAAAGGTGCCAAATGACTAACAAAGATCTTCAAGGTTTTTTATATGTTCATTTACCCAATTAACAAACGCCAAGTCAATGATTTTTCTTAGTGACCCAATGACCCAACACCTGCTCACTGCACTGCGGCATTCCTTATCCAATCACTTACTACTACCCAAAAACCTCTAGAAGAAGAAGATGAAGAAGGAGATGAAGATGGAGATGAAGAAGGAAAAGGAGACAAGGCCCTAATTCCTCCATCTTGCCTCTTCTTTCTTAAACTAGCTTCAACCTTCCAGTTGAATTTTCTCACCCAGTGACTTAAGAAAACTTTCTAATTGA